AGGTCTTGGTTACGGTATGCCAGGAATTACGAGACTAGATTGGTTACAAAAGTTGTCACGAATCAAAGTAATTGGTGAGAGAGAAACTAAAAAATACCATTTGCTATTAATTTTTAAGTAGTTTAATGCAAAATTACTGCTTGGTTATAGGTGACTTGTAATGTCAATAGACAAAAAAAGTAGATCGAAATTAAACGATATCTTGGAATCAATTAAAACCGAAATATATGTATATATTTTTTGAAGTAGATTTGAAAGTATAAGAATTTAAAAGAACCATTGAACATTTTTAAAAAAATTTATTCTAACTAAATTGTTTACTCCGTTGACTTGGAAACAATCTCAACTCTGTCATCTATTTTTATAAAAAAAGTTAAATATTATAAGCTGTTACAGGTATGAACGGCGTATAAAAAAAACATTGTGTTAGCTACGGTCGTACTATTCTAACAGATCTTAACATGTTTTGTTGTTTAATTCTGTACAAGAAACATTCATTATTGATAGTTTTATTAGCAGTACATCACTTCCTTTTAGATAAAACAACACCGGAGATTATAGGTCATCAATTACAATGTTTATAGTGTCAAGTATCAGTGTTTACTCGCCTTAACAATGTAATTTTATTGACTAAATATTGTTAAATGAGTTATGGTAATTATACGGTCATGAATAATTTATGATGTTTAAAAATGTATTTTTTTATATAAAAATATTAATATTCACAAACGGTATAAATTTATTAATTTGTTAAAAACTACTCGAAATATGAAAATTATATAAGATTTTATTTTTTATCATTGCCTAAAGACATGGGGCTAAAAAAACAAAATTCGTCATTTTATTTTATTTGAATAAAATATGCACTAAAGGTGTGAATAATTTAAATGTTTTGCGTTTTATGGAAAATATTTAAGAGGACAGTCTTGTATTTTTTATTTTATCTTTTAAATCAATTTTTATCGAAAATGGAAATTTATTTCAAAAATTATTCAACAATATTATATTTATCAATTTTAAGTAGTAGATATGGTCCGATTTTTTGCAGATATTCCAACCACAACTTCAAAAAACTTCTATTTTAAACTTTACCACTTTTAAAGTACTTTAGCAAAATTTTACCGTTCAGATATCACTGGAGGCCAAAGAAATAATTATTACAGTTGAAAATTTTATGTCCCCTATGTCCCGTGACGTGTACTAATAAATTCAGAAAATTTAAATTTTGTAGCCAAATGTCTACTTTTATTTTCTTATTAGTTCCATCTCTGTGTATATTGTAGAAAGACTAAAATAGAAAAATAATTAGGTGTCTGTTCTTTGTTTATCAATTCTGAACAATGCATTAAGTGGTGTTGTAACAAAATGAAAAGGGTAGTGTCGATTAAAATTTAATAATAGTATATTTTAAAATTATTGTTATTAATTAATTATTTCATACAATTCTGTATTATATTTATATTTCTGAATCGTTTGTAAGTGTTTAACATGAATCCTGGATTTTTGGAAACAGATTCAGCTAACATCCACCAACGTCAAATCAGTTAGAACAAAAATAGAAATCACTAAAGTAATTTAGGGTGAATTTAGGCGAGAAATTTCATCAAAAATGGTTTTCCAATTCCAATTTTCTTCTAAATCCTTAATTACAAGGATAAATCAATGTTTTCTTATTAAAATAAACACCATTATTAATTGTTTCGAAGTAAATATGATTGAAAATTGAGATGGACAACTTTGGCACTGAAAGATATAGATATTTTTATGGTGTATACCAAATTTGCGGATAAGACAAGAAGGGCACTGAGCCACTCATTTGTTAGAGGTGAAAACATTCAGATGAATAACCCTTAGACTAGGTAATAAAGAAAGGACACGTAACAAGTATATCGAGCACACGTAGTATTCTGTGCCGATTATCTATTGGCCGTCATTTTTTTGGTGCTAAGCATTTCGGTGACACCAAAGTTTTTGTTCTTGTTTATTTCTGATTTTTGAATTAAACGACATTTAATAATTGGTTTATTACAATGGTTTATTGTGTGGCATATCAGTGTAAAAGTTATAGCGGCAAGAAAAAAAGCAGGAATTACGTTACACAGTTAAATAATAAACATCAATCGTTTTCACTTTATATATTTTCTTATATTTTTCATTTTATTTGGTGTTATACAACTTGGTATTTACATATTGTACATGTCTCACTCCAGAGTATTAAATTTTACCCACCAAGTTTGTTTATTTTATGCTTTTGATTGATATTTAAGCAATTAATGATATTAAAATGACCAAACATGTAATTTTTTCCAGTGGCGTGTCGTACAATTCTAAATATTAACAATAATTTCTAATTTACTTTTGCTTTTTATTTAATTGCAGCAATGTTTATTTGTTGTTTTATTTTAGATTTCCCGTGAATCCAGCAAAAAATCTTTGGATTCAGACAACGAAAATTGAAAATTGGATGCCTACGTCAAGTGATAGATTGTGTTCAAAACATTTTGAAATACATTTTTTTTATGGGGCTGACTGTACAAGACGTTTACTAAATGAAGCAGTTTCCACTATATTTCCTGAATTCTCTAAATACATGCAGCCGAAGAAGGTACGTTTACTAATAAACGTAATTAAACATATATTTTTTTAATTACTTTTCAGTATTATGCTATGAACTTTTAAGAATTTAGCAACCCTTTTGTGTATAATTTAAAACATTACCGTGATAATTAATTGTTTGTAGGACTTAAAAAGAAGAGCCTTGTATTTGGAAGTTGTGCCAGGTCCTTCAAATAGAACTTCAAATAAGGAATCTATCCTAGAAAGCCCTAGCTTAGAAGATAACTTTTACAACAGGTAGAAAAGAATAAAGAAAAAAACAAGACAAATCAAAGTTCTTAAACAAAAACTTAAAAGATTTAAAAAAAGAGTTGTTTGCTAAAACTTCTTGTTATTATACCAAATTAGTATTATTTAAGGGTCAGTAATACATTTATCTTCATTTATGTATAATTTTTCTTATTTCCTATTAGCTTAATTTAATAATATCCAGATAGCACACTACATCTTAAAGACGTCCAGTTCATGTCTTACTTTCGTCCAAACGTCATGTTTAAAACTTCTTTGTTGGGGCGTTTTTAGGACGTTTTAAATATGTCGGTAATGTAGACGTTCAATTATTTTTGCTATATTTGAATATGGCGTCACGACACCGTTCTTGGTGCTGCCTGCAGGAGTGCGTTTAGAAACCACGCACAGCGCGTCTAGACCCTATTCTAATGTATGTGGTTAGAGGCGTCATGCTAGGTTTCTAAACGCACTCCTGCGCATGTATGATCGTCATTCGTCATTGGGTTTGTTCGTTTTTTTTTTAAAGCTCGATGCAAACCGTCCGAGAACCAGTGGAGCATTTCAATTCCAAATTATTCGTCGCATACAACTATTAAACTGTCCACTGGTCAACTAGTCCTCTGATAGTTCTCAATGTGTTTTTGAAGAACCCGAACAGACCTAGTGTCATTGACTGATTGGATAGTCTCGCGCGCGCGTATCGAGTCGTGTTCTTCCTCTAGCTGCCTTCTTCTCGGGACAGCCATTGTATAATATTTTTAGCGTCAGTCATTACTTTTTCGTGGTTGTGTGTTTTTATATATTGTCTTTTTATATTATTTGCCATTATTGGAACTGTGGTATACCGAAACTTTATCATTAAAAACGGTAAGTTTTAATTTATTAGCCTTTAAGTTTCATAATCTCCCTTGAATAATGTCTATTTTTTTAGAAAAACACCTTAAAATAATAATTGAACTAAATTATATGCTACGAGTACATTAGTTACGGGCGCTTTGGCTAAAACTAATACTATAAAAGAAATTTTTAAATCGAACAAACAGAAAAAAAGTAGGATTTCTGGGAATAGTTTCTCAGAGCAACAAGTACTTGAAGACATTTTCTAATTATTTTATCCAACACTAAAATAATATTCACTCTGTGTCAGTTTTAATAGTTTAATAATGTTTAATAAACAGTATTAAATATAATAGAGAAGTATTCATTTATCTTTTTAAACGAATTTTCATCAAGTAAATAGACGACTTAAACACGTCCAATACGGTTTGTCTTCGGGACGTACAAAACTGGATGTCTTAAAGACGTACAAAATTGGATGTCCTAAAGACGCCCTGTTTTGTAACAAAGTACGTCCTATAGACGCCTTTAAAACATCTTTTGGATGTTAGCATAGATCTTCAAAATGTCACGAACGTCGTGAACAAATGTATTTAAGATGTCTTTAAAACGTGTCTGTGCTATCTGGGTAGTGTTATCCTTTATTAACTACAAATAAATCTTTTTGTAATACAAATAGATCATTTTGTTTTATTTTGCGGAATTAAAAAAAACACTCCTTTTACTATGTAAAATATTTCATTCAGTTTATTTCAATATATTTTTTTCTTGTGTCTTATTTATTGTTTCTTACTTATTTTAAATTTTACGCTTTGAACTTGTATTATACCTAAATGTATCAATGAAGTACTAATAACATAAATACAAGTTCGTTTTTTTATTTCCAACATTGTTTTTTTTTCCAACATGTTACGCCTTTGGTCGAATATCGTTGGTGTCAGAATGGAACAAGATTTTTAGCGACGTTATGAGTCCTCTCTTTATTAGATAGTCTAAGGAAGAACCCCACTTAATCACACGTAAGACGCACCCTGTTTCAAAGAACGCTTAATCGAGCGGTTACCTGTTGTTACATTTTTCTTCATTTACAATCGGTCTGCAATTAATTACCCCAGTTTCAAGATTTGTTTATGTCCAATATAATAGCAACGTTGCATTAAATTATGAAAATAAAATTTCACATTTCTACCAACCTATAACGAAGATTTACACGATGAAATATGTTAAACTTTTATAGGTACTATAATTAAAAAAATTCCTTATACATTTTTTAAATTATATTATACCTGGGCAAATGAACTATTTTTTGTACTCACCTGAAGAGAAACGCATGTGCAAAAGAGCCAAGAAGTCAATAATATAACCAAACGCTGCGCCATTTTGTCCTAAAACAAAAACAAAATTAAAAAATTAGGGTCACCCGAATCTGAAGCAAATTCATAAAAGCTATACGAGACCAGTCGCATATGAATTAGGCAAATAAATTTTTTTTTGTTAAATTATCTTATAAACATTTGTTTATTTCACCACTATTATTTTAACGAAGGAAAATTAAGCTTATTCGTTAATGTACAATTTGAACAATTAATTAACAAAATTTAATTACTGAGGCCCTTCCTATGGGGCCTCAGTATTGCATTCGTGCAGACGAAAAAATTTTCTGACCCCCATTTTTTAAAACTTTTTTTTCATGTTTCTGAAATGCAAAAAAAAATGTTTCGTCTGGTCGTCTGTGTGTATGTATGCCGACACGATAACTCTAGAACGAAAGTTCTGATTGACTTGCGGTTTTGATTTTCTTGAATAATTACTTCTAACTTAGAACCCTATTGATTTTCAGAATTTTCGGTTCATCCTAACTACTTTAATATCAATTTTCTTAAAATCGACAATATTAGGAATTCCAATTATTTCGTCAACATTCCTAACATTCTTTACATTCCATAAATTGCAAACAATGGGTGCATTCACCAGACGGCAACAGTTGAGTAGTTGAGTAAGCGATCGCGTTCGGCAGACACGATGACTTTACGCCGAATGTCATCTGCTGCAAATTTCACTCAGCGCGATGAATTTGCACTGAGCCGACTCAATATATGTTTAGACATGCGCAGTAAGATGACAGTTCATTGTTGCGCGTGCTTTCTTGATGTTTAAAACGTACATATTATGGAAACTAATACAGAAAATTTGTCAACCTACAGTTTGGTGTTTTCTGACGAGGATCAGCATCAGAAGGTTATGTTCAACAGTCTAATCTGACAGTTCTGTAACATACAGAGACCCAACGGTCAACGGAGCGTTCAGCCAATTTCCATCTGCTGCCGGATGTTAATCCCCAGCCGTTTAGCGCTTAAAGTTAACTGCTGACGTCTGGTGAACGCACCCATTCTCTAACGACCTGTCAAACAACAGCTGTTGATAGTAAAGGTGAAATTTCTAAGGCGGGTTGCGACCTTCATACTTGCAACCATAGCCATTTTGGAGGCTATTTTCATTCGAAATTAGTTGCCAAGCCTGCCAATTTATGAAAAATATATAATCAGTTTCTTAAAAATGACTTTTTATAGTGGTGCTAACTTAAGCGTACTACTATTTAGCCCCTAGGTGCCCTAGCCACAAAAACACCATTAAATTTACTGGCTATCTATCGCAACCCCATAGAATAATTAACCGGCCATTTTATTTGGCAAAAATCAGAATAATGCTTGGCTGTGCCTGTTAAGTATCAAGATGTCAACTGTGATGTGTCAATGGCTCTTAAAAGTCAAATTATTTAAAAATGTATACTTCTTTTAATATTTATTAGAAATAATTTGTAGTGTATCTCAATTCAGACTTTCTCAATTTAGGCTTTCCATAAATAAAGGTACAGGAAGACAGATAATATAATGTTCTTATACGAAGCACTTTTTTTATTATATAAAAGAGGGGTAGGATATAATGCCCATTTCAAATTTGGATCAATTATGATACCAAGGTATTTTGTTGTGTTTTTCATTTTAATTATAAAGTTGTCATTTATTTGTATGTTGAAAGAAGGCCTTTGTAAATTGAATTGCTCTCTATGGATCTACTTTAACACAAAAATAGTTTTGTGTGGAGCGGCTGGTGTTTATTGACGGCACCATCAATGAATATAGCCGTTGATAAATTATATGCAATGATCTGATGAGAAATTAATTTTCCAACAGGATGGTGCGGCATGCAATACGGCCAACAATGTAACCTGTTGGTTTGAAGACAGCCATATTTTAAAATGACCCTCAAACAGCTCATACTTATCTTCCATTCTGACAATCGCTAATCAAATTAAAAAAAGACTGCGTACAATTCCATCTCGTATATAGACGAACTGAAAGTGAAAATCCAAGAAATTTAGAACAGTTTTCCTCCAGGTAAATATTTCCTAATTACTAATTAATACTGTAACTGTAACTTAGATGTGGGTGAAAGATACGCGGCTTCGAATCCTATGGCAGACCATGTGTATTTTTTATATAATTTGCATGGTTCGTTATAGGATTTGATGAATGCCGTATTAGGAGAAATTTAATTTCTGTTAATATGACATCGAGACTATAAATCGCCATGCATTACCGTTTCAATGATGGTGGGTGGGATTTCCTCACCTGTAAGTCAAATAGCACCATGAATCATCCTTGAGTCACCCCGGATCGCCACGGCAAATAATATATAATATATCCGTTCTTTCTCTGGACAAGCTCAGCTTTTGGAGTTGAAATTCACTCGTAAGAGGGTGAATGAGGGAGAGTATTATTATTACTATGTAATTCAAAATCTTTGGTCCAATTAAATATGCGCCAATATCAGGATAAGTGCAGTTTAAATCAAATTTTGTTACTTAATAGTTCAAATAATTTTAGTTTTCTTTTATTAAAATAATATAGATGAAATAAATGTTTATAATTTAATTTAGTGCAAAATTTTTGTTTGGTCCAATTCATGTGCGACTGCACTCGTACAAACAAACTATATTTAAATTAAAACAATATTGTTGTGAGTTTAGTACAATAATTATTATCTGCAGGTTCATTAAAATTGCTTACACAAAATATTAATGCCTAATTTGAATGCAGATTACACTAATACCGAATAAAGATAGTTACTTATGTCTAAAATTGGGCAATAAAAAATAAATATCCAAATATCAGGTAGTTATTAGAAAATAAATATTCATAATAACAATAATTTTCATGATAAATGGTTGGAACTTGTTTTTTTTTAAATATACCTATTTTGTCGTTTTTACAAGATTATAAATTAAACAAAAAACGATTTTGAGAAAAAATTAATATTTATATAATATTCTTATGATTATGCAATGCAAACGTTTAGGTTAGGCGGTCTTGCAGAAGAGGGCCAGATCTATTGAAATGTTCTAATTTCCTTCAAAGATCTGGATATTTAAATCTGATTCACAGAATAGATAGTGCGAGGGAACATTTGAAATACATATGGGAACATATAAATAATATGAAATTTTAAAATTAACGGTTTACCAACTGCGTGTCCAATAGAAAGTGACCAGATAATATAAGGAATAGAAACAAAGTTTATGTATCAGGAAAAAAAAAAAAGATAGAAATCATACGTGGTTAAAGAAATTCCAAAATTTGCTAAAAAATTTGAAAAAATGTTTGTACATCATTAACATATTATCCATTGAATAGAAGAAACCAATTAAAAATAGAAAGGCTTCAATTGGTTTATTGGATACAAAAGACTCACAGGTAATATTAAAAGAACAAGGGACGACTGGAAACTTCTAAAAATTCAAAAAAGAACAGACAGAGAGAATGGATAATTATAGAATTTTCAACAATAATCTTTTTGATATCTTACTTGTCAATCATGACAAATATTTCAATGGCATTGTTTTGGAGTTCTGTATGTGTAGGTTTGGGAGGGTGAGATGCCCCCACATCATTTAGACCTAAGTAGACCAATTGTGCATCCTCCATGGCACTTGTTTTGGGGTGGGATTATAGATAAAGTTATTAATTTTACTCTTTTACATTTCAGTCACGTCAGTAATAGTTATTATTGATAATCTGTACAATTACTCAAGAGGAAGATTAGTGTAATTAGTAGTTACGTGTTGAAGAACGCCATTGTATCAATGAGTAGATTTAAATTTCAATTAAAAACTTTACAATAAAATTATTTATTGATTTATTTATTATAACTGGTTTGTAATAGCATACAGTGCTATCGAAAATGGTATAGAGTTTTTCCTATTCATGATAATGTATAGGCCTTCACGAATTAACTTCCTATATACATTTTATCACCTATTGTTTTAATCTCAATACTATATAACTGATAATTGAGACAGACGTTTAAAGTATAATTTGAAAGTCAATCTATAAATTACATACTAATTATCTCCATATAACCACAATAAACGCGCCATCATCAGATCGATTAAAATCTACCATGCACCTCCAGAAGATAAATGTTGGTCATTAAAAAAATATGACTTCGTAATTTACAGCTTGCCTAAACAATAGGACTTCCTTTGGTTTGGGAAATAATTATACGTATGAATTAGTAGCACATTCGAACATTGTTTAACACACTTCTTCACGGTCAATACTTTTTTTATTGAATTATGCGTGTTTCTCACATTTTGGCTACTGAATTTGACAATAAAGCGTATTTAATTGAGCGAGAAATTGCATTTAGATAAAAGGTTTTTATGATGATCATTACGTATTTAGTTAAAATACAATGGGTAATGTTGAAAAAAATTAATTGGTTCTATAATAATTTGTAAAGAGTCTGCCAATGGCAAAGTAGGAACAAAGGATATATTTTTTTTGTATTTAAAAAATTAGCGTATCCAAATTATTCATATTATATAAAAACACAGAAAAACTAGATTTTATAGATCAAATAGTGTATGATTCTATCATTTGGGATCTTATAGGCAATGCGTGGCATATTAAATTGAGGGCACTCTATGAACATCATATTCTTCACATAGAAGAGGATAACTTGTTAGGCCCAACCATAATAGTCTGCACTTTCCGAATATTAGTAAAATGCTTTCAGGACGTTTTCTTTTATAGAACGTAATTTGAATTAGGATTTTTTCCATTCTTGAGTCCTTTTAAACAAAAATGTATTTTTAAATAGCCTTGGTGCTATTACAATGATTAGCTTTCTTATTCCCATCAATACCGATAGGCAAATATATACAGATGATGCTGAAAATCCAGGAGCGTTGTTAAGTCCGCAATAGTATTTTGCAATTTGGTTTTGCGGATATATTTGTTTTATTGTTTCTATGGAACTTAATATATTAGTGAATGGCTTTATGTAAGGCATACAGTTCTGCGGAGAAGAAACTGTTAGTTAA